CACTCCGCATTTTGTGCCAAAGATGCTCCAACTGGCTTTAATTGAGGATCCTCAAATGTTCACTGGTTTGCGCCCAAATAGAAGCCAAACGGGGCCAGTTCGATACCAAGTTTGACGCATTAAGTCAAACTAGAATTAACCAGAAAGCTGAAATTTTTCACAAAAAAAACTGGGTGTCCCAAAAAAATTTTTTCACTCTCACTCGTTGCAGACAATTTTCACTTGTGAAGGCAAATTCGGGTTTTCTGGGCAATTTTAGTCTGACTTGATGTGCCACACTCCACACTTCCTGCCAAAGATACTCCATCTGGCTTCAGTTGAGGATCCTCAACTGTTCACTTGTTTTCCCCAATAAGAGCCCAACGATCGCAGCTAGATACCAAGTGTGACCCATCAAGTCAGGCTAGAATTGCCTGGGGAATTCATTTTTTCAATAACATACCGGGTGTACCAAGCAAAAAAATTTCCAAGTTCGAAAACATCGCCTCTGGCGCATCTGCAAAGACGTGAATTGCTATGGAAGAGCGAAAAGCATCGCGACAATCAACTCAGTTAAGGTTTTAAGCGGTTCGAAATCCGCCCAATTACTTCCGGCCATTAGATCTAGGCCCTTAAAGGCGGTTTATTATTGCGGCAATTTTCCGATGGAATTAACCAGCCGGCGGACAAATCCAGTAACCCTGCAGGCAAAACCGCAATGTTTTTTCAGTAGAAATTCGTTTTTTGCCCACTGCTCGTTTGTTCGCTCATTAGCGGATAGAGCTGAACCCAAATCAGAATGGCAATTTTCGATATAAGCATGGGGAGCAAACGCTGGGAAATTGCAGGGGAAACAAAAGCAAATTGGTCGCTTTAAGTGGGTCGTAGTAGAAAATTGCATTTCCCCGGTTAAACCGCAAGTTATGGCCCGAAAGCTGGATAATTGGACAGTTGAAGATGGCCATAAGGTGCATGTTGGCTGGCCGAAACAAGCGTACGCGCTTCGCTCGGATGTTCTTTGATTAAATTAATACTCTGCACGCTCGGGCAAATTAAAATGTTTTATTGAAGAAGGGGACGGATTGAGCAAATATCTGGACCGAACTTGTTGGATGCACTTGAGCGGTTTGGTGATCGCGTCAGAAAACACAGTGGGAAAACTCCACCTGAGGCGCTGGTGCCACGCAATTTTTTCAATAGATTGCGGGAAAAATTGCCTTTCCAACAGTGCAAACTGGAAAAAGCTGGCAGGCTCAGGGGCGAAGCCCCGAATTTTTGAATCACTGCCTTTTTCATTAGGAGGACCATCACAATGGTGCCAGCCTGCATTTAAAAATGTGTTTCTCCGAACRGAGKTTTRCTAAAACTGTACAACTTTGCSGGTTGATATACACCTGGCTATGGGTGATTCGTGGGCACAGTTGCCAGATGTTGGGAGTTTTYCCGGATGTTCCARGAATTTTYCAATTAGGCTTTCGTGGGTTTCTCAAMCCGCCGTTTTATCGCAGGTTGGATAAATTGATCACAGCGACCCGATTCGATCTAGAGGGTTGCAATTTTCCATTTGGATTGACAGGGGAGCTCTGAATGATATTTCAGGAAATTCCTGACGCGGGCTGATTTTCCAGGAATTTCTAAAAGTGATTGCCAAAAAGTACAAGATGTGCATTTGARGACTTCAYAGGTTCGAAAATTCATARRTTCCAAACTGAGCACGCCAGACACWTGAAATTTGGCTCCAGTATAAAGGRGGCTTTAGTTATAGAGTGTGCAAAAATTCAGTGGATTCCAGTTACTGCTGAATTTTTCACAAATTTTGAAATTTGTTGTAAAAAAATCCAGGCGTCACTGTAGTCACTCTCTTTGGAAAAAATCGGAAAATTAAAACTATCATCTTGCGACTGAAG